ATGAGATTTTTTAATACTCTTGAGATGAAGAAGTATTTTTAAGAATTCTATCAGATTGATGAAAAAATCTTAAGAATTATTTTCAATATTAAATTTAAGACCATTAAAATTAAGACCTTAGGATAATTTAAAATAAAATAGTATCATCTTTTAGATGGGCATGTAGAGGTGCTATAACTTTTTTCATATGTAATTGAGCTATCAAACCATATTCTGATTAGTAGACTAGAACCTGTTCTTTTAGGGACTTTTAGTCAAGTTTAGAGTTCCTTAAAAGAATATATTCATTAGGTGGTCAATCACACCTAGATAAAAGATTAATGGTGACTCCTTAAGTTGTGTCTAATTATAGATTTACAAATTTATACGTTATAATAGATGCTTTAACATAATTTCCAATAAAAAAGAGTTAACTTTGCCAGGTTCTAGTGTGAAATGATCCATGCTGATTTTTTTATCTAGGATTCTCACATTCGTAAAAAAAAAAATCAATAATAGAAGTCTCCAGGCACAAATATAACTTTTCTTAAAAATTTGACAAAACCAAAAAAACCTATATATAGAAAAGCTAACTTCAGTGCCTTAAAAAATTGACAAAACCAAGAAAAACCTATATATAGAAAAGCTAACCCCAGTGCCATCAAAGAATAATTTGGCTAAAATAGGTATCTCATATTAATATGCCTTTTCTCACTCAAGGTTGTTGGCAGTATCTTTCACCTACCAAAAAAACCTAACAACCAAAATTTTCCAAGTTTTAATCTTTATAGAAGTATAGGTTAAGAGTCTAAGGTAGGGATTTTACCTATAAATGATATCATGAAGGAAGTCAAGGCTGGACAATGAGAAGGTAATGTGGAGTTTTTCTTTGAGATCATTGCATAAATAATAACCAAGCTTTAAGTAGAGAAACAGCTTTCTTGCTTTGGATGTTGAAAAAAAAATGATAAATGAGTGAAAATCCATCTTGGAATGTGAGCAATGGATAAAGGTGTTGCTACCATTGTTGCAGAGGTTTACATTATTCCAATTAATTTTTATAGCATTTTGCATAGTTGGTAGTAGCACTAGTCACCACTATGGTTTTATTATAGCTTTTGTTTTAGCTTTTGACCCAAAGGTTTTCTGTTAAAATTCCTTGTTAAATTTATTGATGTATATATTAACTTGTTGCTATGATTTTTAATTTTATTGATGTGATATTTTAATTGATTGTTAATAAAGTTTTTTAACGACATATATTTATTGAAAAGTCAAAAGACAAACAATAAATTCACAAGTAAAAATGTGCCATAGGTCTTTAAACTCGTCAAATTTTAAGAATTTAGTCCCTCTGCTATAATTTAAAGAAATTTAGTTCTTATACTATTATTTTTTAAAGATTTAAGTCCAATCGTTAATAGTGTTAAATTTTATCCATTAAATGACTAGCGTGATTGTTGATGTGACATTTCATTCGTTTTTAACATTGTTAATATTAACATGTATTACAATAATGACCATGTGGACTACTAAAAATCCATGTCAACATTTTCAGGTGGCTAGTGTTGTGATAAAATAAGGTTAATTGTGGAACTATAGCAAAGCTTTCCTTTTATACTTGAACACACTATTGTATTTCAAGACCTATTTGAAATACGAGAAGAATCTCAAAGTTAGGAAAGCAATTACCTAGAAATTCATTGAGTATTTACACTATGTTAAGGAAATCCATGCTGTTTTCGATGAGGGTGGCCCTGGACTAGCTTCTAATAGGGATGTTGTTATTACTATGTACCCTAAAAGTAAACCTAATGATGGTAATGGTGCAGGAGAAGGCAGTGATAGGGAGAATTTGAAATAGGCCAAGTTGAGAGCTGGGCTTAATTAAACTATTATTAGGGAAAAACTTAATGTCAAGTGGAATGTGTGGCTATGTTAGAAAATGTTGTTATTTTGCTTGTCAAGTTTCTTGAATTTTTTACTAGTTAGTTTTTTTTTTAAAAAAAAACTTTAGGGCTTTTTTCTTTAGATTTTTACGAATGATTTTGCGTATGCATCTATAATATTAATGGCTTTAGCTAGATTGTGGTAACTAGTAGCGGATACCAAAAAGGGTTAATTGTTGATTGTTGAACAATCGAAAAATTTTACGATTTTATGGTTTTTTCTTGATAGGATTTGTTAAGGATGATTTGTGTTTTTTAGTTATAAAATAATAGCTTTTGCCTAATTTCGGCAATAGGTAGTGCATAAGGAAATGTGTTGATTATTGATTGTGAAACGGTCAAAAATTTTTTTTTTCTTTCTTGATTATGATATTATTTAAAAAAGAGGTTGGTTAGTTTTTTTAATAAAAAAGATATGGTTTTGGTGTTGATCTTTGATAATGTTAAGATAATTAATCTCGCTTGTTTGTTTAGGTTGACTTTAGTAATGTGGTAATCCATGTAGCAATTATTGTAATACACGTCAGTATTAACAATGTTAAGAACCAATGAAAATGTCATATCAATCATTTAACGGATAAAATTTAAAATTATTAATGATTGGATTGAAATTCTTAAAAAATAATAGTACAAGAACAAAATTTCTTTAAATTATACTAAAAGGACTAAATTCCTAAATTTGACGAATGCAGGGACCTATGGCACATTTTGACCTAAATTCACATCATCAATTTTTTTTACAAAAATATAATTTTCACTTTTTTTATTTTAAAAACTTGTTAAACTTATGACCTAAAAAACAAAAGAACCAAAAAAATAGAAAAAAAAAAGATAATGTAAGGTTTTCTCTTGACTATTGTTTGCCAGTAAATACAAATTCGAAACAACTTGACACTTGAAAAAAAATGCAATCTAGATTCTAGACAACAATAGCAAATTCATATTCATAGTTAAGCTAAATCATAAATACATAGTATAACAGAAAAATTGAACATCAAAGAATAGAAAAGAAAAACTCAAATTGAGAAAAAAAAAAAGAAAAACCAGATAAACCCATATCGAGATTATGTTTAGTTTGTAATAAAATGGTCAATTTTATTTAGTTTAAAGTAAATAGCATATGTAGTTCTTAAACTTTAGACCAAATTCTATTTTAATCCCTAAATTTTAAAAAGTTCTAATTGAATATTTAATTGCTCAAATATATACCAATGTAGTCCTTTTATCTATTGGGCCGTCTAAATTAACAAAAAATCCACTACGGCATGACAGGTAATCTTTAAAAATTTAAATACGTGAAATTTTAAAGTTGACTTAAACATTTGTAATTAAGAAATGTAAAATTAAAAATAAAAGAAACCCTAAATTAACACTTTATTAGAACTTGATTTTGTATTTTTTTTCTTACTATCTTCTCTTTTTTTTTCTTTGTGGTCCCTTTTTTCCTCTAACAGCCAAGAGATGGTCAACCACTTGGAAATGTAACATATAGCCCTCCCATTACTTGCACTAAAAGTTGGAGTTTAGCACAACTCCACCTTTATTGGATGAAATGCAAGGGATGAGATTCGACATTACTAGGGCTAATTTAACCCTTTTCCAGTCAAGATTCTGACGACCTCTCTCTTCCATTTTCTCTTTTGTTCCCTTTACAATTAAGAAGGAAAAAGCAAGAGAAAATTGAGAGAAAAAACTGATGAAATCATTTTCATTTGTTTAAGATATGGATGATAGGTTAATGGCATTGGTTGATATTCAAGATGGTAAAGGTAGCTTTTCAGTACTTATTTTGTGGTGTCTTACGCTAAAATTTTATGGGCTTTTTTTATTACTCATAAAGATAGAGTTTCTTGTTATATATGATTATTGGAAATTGGATAATTTTTTTTTGTTTTTATATTAAAAAGATTGAATTCTATGAAGAATTCAAGGTTTTCTTGGGTTACAATTCTTTTTATTAGTAAATGTATACATGAGTAGGGATATTAATGGGTAAAATATGGGTAAGGTAGAGCATTCCCTATCCACATCCCTAGATTTTTATATTATATTCATTCTCGTACACATATCCAACAGATATTTTAAATTTATCCGCATCTCCATCCCTGCAAATATTTAATAGGTATAAGTAATCCTTATACACTTAACTTAAAAAAAAAAAAAAAACTAAAATTTATTTTTTTAGCTTATTTTTATTTTTATCTTGTATATTTAGATAATTTTTTTTATAAATTTATGTTAATACATATTTTTCAATAAAACATATTAATTCTAATTAATCTAAAATAATAACATATATTATTTAATAAAAAGTTTATTTACTAAATATATGTATATATATATAAGGTACGAGTATGAGATGTGTACTATATTACATGTTTGCATTTCTATATCCAATAAAAATTTAAAATCATATCCATCCATATCCTCATACTCACAATACCTATTCTCTTTGGATAAAAAGTCAGTTCCCTAATTAGATATGAGTAAAATTGATATTCTTATATATGAGCAATGGATTAATAGGAATTTGTGCTAAAATTTTTCATGAATTAATACATGTGTTAAGTTAATTTACATATATTCAACTGATAAGTGAGAAACAAAGTTTTGTTAAGTTAGTTTAATATTTTGTCCTTAATTATGTTATGTTTTGATTTAAGATTTTTTTTTAATTTCATGTTTTTTAATTACACATATTTAAGTCAAATTTAAAATTTTACGTATTCAAAATTTTAAAAGTTACGTGTCATGCTAAGTGAGATTTTTTGTTAATTTAAATAGTCCAATAAATGAAAAAATTATAATGATACATGTTTGAATAATTAATAATTCGATTAAAATTTTTTAAAATTTAAAAATTAAAATTAAATTTGATCCAAAATTTAAAAAACACATATGTTACTTACTCTTTGATTTAATAATACCAGACAAACCAATATCGATAAACCCGGTCTGAGAATCTTGGTAGGAATTGAAGCGCAATGTTGAAGTCCAGGCCCACGCCCACGCGCTGCTTTTTTTTTTTTTGGCTTAACTTTAGCAATTTAACTAGTTTGAATTGTCAACAAAATCTAACTTTGATAAAAAGTGCACTCAGACAAAAGGGTGCAGTTAAAACTCGCTTGTCTCGTCCTTGCCACTTTGACTCTCACTTCTTCGCTCTGCGTTCCTTCACTGCCCATCCATGTCGATTCTACACCTTCTTCTCTTCTTCTTCATCTTCTTCTCAGTTCATTCCCAAGAAGACAATCCCATAGCTCGCTTCCGACGTTACCTTCAATTCAACACAGCTCATCCCAATCCAAACTACGCCGACCCAATCTCTTTCCTCATCTCCCAAGCCAACTCCATAGGCCTCCAAGCCCAAACCCTCGAATTCACCCCTTTGAAACCAGTTCTGCTTCTAACATGGCCTGGCTCCAACCCTTCTCTTCCTTCGGTTCTCTTCAACTCCCACCTCGACTCCGTCCCCGCTGAACCTGCCAAATGGTCCCACCCTCCTTTCACCGCCACTCTCACCCCTGAAGGTAAAATCTATGCCCGTGGTGCTCAAGATGACAAATGCATCGCCATGCAATACTTAGAAGCCATTCGCAATCTCAAGGCTAAAGGGTTTACTCCTTTACGAACTATTCATATTTCTTATGTTCCTGATGAAGAGATTGGAGGGTTTGATGGGAGTGCGAAATTTGTTAAGTCCAAAGAGTTTGAGGATTTAAATGTTGGGTTCGTTTTAGATGAAGGGCAGGCTTCTATTAGTGATGAGTTTCGAGTGTTTTACGCTGATAGGTCACCTTGGGGACTTAAAATAAAGGCCACTGGAGCTCCAGGGCATGGTTCTAGGATGTATGATAATGGGGCAATGGAGAATCTGATGAAGAGTGTGGAAGTTATTACTAAGTTTAGGGAGAGTCAATTTGATGTTGTTAAAGCTGGAGAAGCTATGAACTCTGAGGTTGTTTCAGTTAATCCTGTTTATCTGAATGCTGGGATACCCTCCCCAACTGTGAGTTAGTTTCCGATATTTGTGTGTTTTATACAGTAAATGCTAATATGGATTTTTCGATGGTATTGATGATTGGGAGATTTGTTTGTGTGTAGGGATTTGTGATGAATATGCAACCTTCAGAGGCTGAGGCAGGCTTTGATCTTAGGTTGCCACCTACGGTTGATCCGGGTCTTATTAAGAAAAGAATTGCTGAAGAATGGGCACCGGCTAGAAGGAACATGACATATGAGGTAAAGGGTAATTTTCAGTACATATTAGCGGTTGTATTGATTTATTCATGGTTTGCAGCTATAGTGTTGTTTTTAAGCAATTGAGTAAATTGATTGTTTCAATTGGAATCAATTATATGTTCATCCGTTGAGATTTATTTTTTTTCTAGACCATGACAGTATTACTTGATTCCTTTTGCAATTGGTGGTTATTTTGCTTTCATGATATGCTCAAATGAAGTTATGGTGCGACTCGATCATCTATTATTCTATTTTCCAATAATTGAAGGAAGCATTACAAGATTTACAGAATGATTGTCGTTTTTTATTTTCTTAAAGAAGTCTGATTAAGTGAAGTATTCTGCTCAATTGGAAACTGGCACCATACTGTAACTCTGTAACAGAATTCATAGAACGTAGGCTTTAACGAAATGCAGAGTAATCAATCCATTTGTTAATGATTACTACATGTTAATGAAAGCCTGTGCAACAATATATTTGTTTCATGGTTGTTAGAATGAACTTTCTAATGGATGCTGTGATTTTGGTAACAATAGTAAAATGATAGCAATGGCTTCATTTTTGTTAACAGTAGTAAAAATGATGTAATGAATCCTAACTAATTTTGGATTGGGATGTAGATCCAACAATATTAACGTGGTGTTAAAGCCTTTATTCTTATATTTGATACCATGGTATTAATTGTATTCTTTGCTGCTACTTCAACTGCCATTTCTGTTGTGAACTGGTAACATATATAATGCCCCATGCTTGGGCCATCATTTATATATCTGCTGATGTTTCCTTTCAACATTTTTTCTACTTACTAAATCTTCTCTAGAATGGTTAGTCTTCTAAACGTTCTGTGGAATTTTAATGAATATGAGCTCTACCAGGACTCACCTATCTGGCTGTAGGAGAGCTAAATCTTGCTTCTAGAAAATTAGAAAAAAAATTAAGTGAGCTGTGAATTGCAATAAAAAAAAGGCTTGGCCAGTGTTTACTGACTCCCACTGGGTGAAAATTATGGCAGTCTTGAGCAGCAGGGACAATCATATTGATGTTAATCAATACTACCATATGGTGCAAAGTTAAATTCTATTGTTGCTTTTTGACTTTTGCTTTCAAATTTATGCTGACAATGGTTTTGACTACTGATTGTCAGTTTAAGGATGCATTGTTATTTTGTGTTTCTTGGTTCCAAGGTCTGCTATGAGTTTTGTGCTTTGGCTTTTTACCTACTCAGGATGCACCTTAAGTGTGCAATGACTTTTTTAACAGTGCTGGGAATAACTGGTTTAACTTAGTTGTATCTGCAAAGTCGGTGCACTGATTTTTGTTGTCTCTATAACATCTAAATATATACATCTTTTATATATTTTAAGAGAATCCTCATTTTGCTGAGATGATAAACCCTATGGTAGCTTGTTCTGTTCAGTGCCTTAGTATATGCTACTTGAATTTTTTTTTGGTACAAAGGAGGCTGCAGTCTAGGAATAGGGAAAGGGTTGCAGTTGCTGGGATTTAAACCTCAAACTTGCTGGATGCCACCTCTTAAGAGTAGCTGCATGAAACATCTGTAAAATTTTCAGGTAACGCAGTGTCTGATAGGTGGTTTTTAGTGTGCTTGGTTCTTCTTTTTCATTATTATGTCATGCTGCCATTTGTTTTAAGAAACTTTCATTTTTAACCTAGTCTAACTGGGAGGCATTAAACTTGGTGAAGCTATTGCTTTCATCAATTTAAATTGACAATCTTTGACCTACTCTAGCCACAAGAAACTATCACCCAAAAGTAGGCTAGTTGTTGTTTTATCATGAGGAATAGGCATTTCCTATATGGTTAGTGGCAGCCATACTGGGGGTTACCTGTCGTTGGGAATGGCATGCATGACTGGAGGATGCTAAGGTGCCCAACTTTATGTAATGTAGGCTGAAAAATCTGTTATGAGTACAGAGATGATGAGTGATTCCATTTGCTATCAAAAATGTCAAGTTTATGCTGCCAACCATTCTGAAACTAATTAATCTGAAGATGTCAGATAGCCATTTTCTGTGCTGCTAATTGCTTTCTGATTTGGCAGGTAATTGAGAAAGGACCAATAAGAGATTACATGGGCTGCCCTTTAATGACACTGACGAATGATTCCAATCCATGGTGGCCTGTTTTCAAGCAAGCAATTGAAGCAGCTGGAGGAAAACTTTCAAGGCCTGAAATTTTAGCTTCAACAACTGATGCGCGATACATGAGACAAAGAGGAATTCCTGCTCTTGGTTTTTCCCCAATGACAAACACTCCCATCTTGTTGCATGACCATAATGAGGTTTGTCAAATTCCCAACATACCATTTTTCTTACTATTAAGCAAGCATTATTTTTTCATCTTGGTCCTGTCTTGCAGTTCCTGAAAGATTCCGTGTACTTGAGGGGAATTGAAGTGTATGAATCCGTAATAAGTTCTCTGAGTTCCTTTAAGGGAGAATCTTATTAGATGCTTTCAATTGGTTGATTAATGGGCAGTGTCTCATGGTATGATCAATCATCTTCCTCTTTCTCTTGTTTTGCATTCTTAACAATGTATATTCATTTTTTAGTAACAATATCTCATTTTGCTTGTTTCTATGTACTTTGCATAAAATCATGGCTCATTATGATCTTACCAATATAAAGCAATTTGTAAAAATCCATTTGAACGCTACCAATCTAGACTTGATGTTCCAAATACCTAGTTCATACTCCTTTAGTAGTGAAACAAAATGTACACAATGTTGTTGAATGATCAAAACATAATATACCATTAATCTCATCTTAGAACCTAACCACAAATTCACTGCTATTTTCCTGTTATTGTATTTGTTGTTGTAATGGTGTAGGTGCAAGAGTTTGGTTGTCTTCTTCTGTCTCACCATTTTTAATAAGTGAGGCTTAGATTGGTCGTTTAAAGTTCATGCACATTCTATTGATTTTGTTTGAGTCAATGTATGTAATATTGACTCTATAGGAGGTCTTCTGCATATAAACTCGTATTTCCTGAGTTCAAAATTTTATGTGTATTTGGAAAGTTGAGTTGCAAAATTAGAAGGTAGAAAGCTGATCTAATTACTCTAACATGCTTATAATGTTGGAAATAGGATAGGGAGAGAGAATGGAGAGAGACAAAAGAGAAAAATCAGATGGAAAAGTGCAAGAAGCAGGGGAATCAAAGGGGAGAAATAGCTAGGGATGGCAAGTATACCCGAATTCGTCAGGTTCTAACCCGACCTTATAGGGTCTTTTTAAAAATCAAGTTTCATGTCGAGTTGGATTTTTTTAAAGTTGGGTTGGGTTGAAGTTGGGTTTTAGGTAAATCCACCTTGATTTAACCTGGTATATATATAAATATATTTTTATTATTTATTTAATTTTATATTTATATATTATATTAATAAAATTATTATTTAATACTTTAATTCAATATATTAATTTAATAAAAATACTATATTTATGTATAATTAAGATGTAATTTTTATTAAAAAATAATATTTTATGAATATTATTAAATTAAAATTATTAAATTAATTTCGAGTTGAGTCTTGTTGGTTACGGCTTTATTTATATGTGAGTCAGGTTAAATATGAAAAAATAATATTTTTATGTCGAGTCGGGTTAGAGTCAAGATGAACCAAAAACCTACCTCGCCTCAACCTATCACTATCACTAGAAATAGCCACAAACAAAGGGGAAGGGAGAGAAGGAGAAATCCTAATAGTCTTATCTTAATTTTTCATTCTCCATAATTTTATGCAGCTAGAAATTGAAAAAATGACTTATTTATTTTGCTTTCTAATATTAGTACCTAATAAACAAGAATAACCTAAACATGTTAAAATAGATGTAAATTACAAAATCCCACCTTGTGGAAAAGGGCAGAATAAATATGTCCTTTGTGTTTAAAAAGTGATACTTAACCCTGCTAAGAATTTTTTGGTTAATTTTTTAAGCTAAAATCATTTATCTTTTTTCCTTTCTTTTGTTTTTTCCTTTGTCATCCTTTTATTCTTCCTTGAATTTCGAGCCCCTCTCTCTAATAGTGTCATATATTTCATTTTTCCTTTAACAGTGTTGATTAAACAATTAACCTAAGAATCATGACATGGTGAAGTGTCAGTTTTTGAACTTCAGGGATAAATAATGAAATAAATTTCTGTACAATATAAGTCCTCTCTTCTGGATCATCTTCTCTTGCATTAGCTTAGGAAAGGATGAAGAAACTGATTTTAACTTAGATATTTGCATGGTTGGTAGTTTGTAGTAATTTCAATTTCACATCTTCTCTATATGAATTACTTCACAGTTACAATCTGTAAATTAGGTTGAATTTATAGTTGAGTCAGTTCGGAGTTCGAATAATTTTGGTTCTCACTTCTCAAGTTAGTTGCTTTCATAGTATCTGAAATTGGAATCATTTCAGGGTTGAAATGCTTTGGGGTTTCAGGTTATTGACTTTTGCATCGATTCCAATGGAGACAAGTTGGATTTTGGACAAGTGAAGTGCTCTTCCCATCACGTAATTTGCAAAATTTTTTTATTTTCATAGCAATTCTTAGAAAGGACACTGAATGAGCTCTATGTATATTCAATAAGTGAGGAAACATTGAACAAATTCATGAGCTATGGATAACTATAAGGGGACGTTTGGTTTGTAAAATTTAAGATTCTTTTCGGAAATCTAACTTTTCATAATCTGATTCTTCAGTTTGATTTCATGTACCGTCTCTCGTGTCCAGTCCAGAGTCGTCTGAATCTTACACAATTACATTTTCAGAACACTGTATTATGCAATGGAAATTGAAAGGAAAAAGACAAGGTAGGGGTTCAAAACTCTTGGAGAATCATATTTAACGTAGGTAGATAAAATTTTATATGCCAAAAGTTTTGTCCTTTTAATCTGTCACTGTCTATATGCAGCGATTTCAAGCTGTAACATGAACCATATAATCATTATATTTCAAGCTGTAAAACTACAAATATCAACTAATCAGAGCTACTTACATCAGTGTGTTCCAGCTAAAACTACACCTCCTAATGAGACAGCAGAAGGGATAGTCATCAACATGTTGATCTTTTACAAGTTAGATTGTATGTTCTGTTAAGGGGATTGATCATGGTTAATTGGTTAGTGTCCTGGATGTAATGCACTTGATTGTGAAAGCATAATCTAAAAATTGTTAGAAGGAAAGATACATTCATTTCTTGAGTGAATACTGTGCCGTCGTCAAGCCTCATCTTCTTACCGGTTGTACTATTTTCCGGGTCGTTCTCCTAGCTTGTCTTCTTGTATTTGTTATACAATGACCAATTTATTCATTAAAATAATTAATAACAATGCATCTCTCTAGCAAACAGAATACAAGGTTGAACTCTTGCTTAAAAAAAAATAAGTTAACTGCAAAAATGGGGGCAATTCAAGGACGTCTATCAATGGGATGCAGTCGTATTAGCTCTAGTAACAATTTGCCCATATCTATGACACAAATTGAAGTTGTTGAACTGAAAATTTTCAGATGCCTCTAAATAAAAATATCTACAATCGCACAAGTTTTTCTTTTTTTTTTCCTTCAACTTTCAAACCGACAACTTCCTGTCACCCTCCATGGATTGTTTATTTGTTTATTAATTACATACCCAAAAAAAAAACAACTTATCTAGTACAAGTATTATGTGAGCTATCACTTTGGATATGGTGGTGGTTGTAGATTTGATAACGAAAGATTCATGAAAAACCATTTTTTCCAGGAAGTTTCTCTATCCTCCTATGAAAAAAAAAAATTAGAGAGAGGATTCTACGCTTTCCAAGGCTTTAACCCAGATGGATCTTGCCTCTCTGTCATCTGACATACTTCAACCTTTGAAAACCTTCTCACCACTTTCGCCCATCCTCACCCTTAGCCCCATCACTCTCCCATTTCAATATTCTTAGACAGTGATTTTGTTGGTAATTCCTGATTTCTTGTTATATTTGTTTTGTGTCAAATATACGAAAAACACGTTTACATGTCCAATATAAATATTTTTTATTATTTTTATCAATTATATATATAAATTTTGCTAAAAGTTCATCATATTATTTTTAAAATTACCGAATCTTACTATCCTTTCAACACATATTGGTCCTACTTCCAAATGGCTAAGGTTCAAGTCCTTTTTTAGTGCAGATTTCATTATTTCATTGTCACTTTCCTCGATAGAGCGGGTACGGAATGGCTATGGGGTACGGCAATGTCAATGCCAGTTAAGCAATCAAGAAGAGAATAAATTTTTACTTGTAGATAGAATATTTGATATGACTTGAGAGAAGGAGAAGCATGAATCTTCATTTATGGCATTGATTTTTAATTATATCAGGCAGGGACCTGAGTGTGAGTCCATAAGATAGAGAAAAGCTTTAGGACAAATTTGTGTATCTGGCTTACTGCATCTGATGTAGAAGAGTTTCTTGCACTGCAGAGTTGCCCCAGACAAAAAGATTTTTGCCCTTCTTCTGCTGGCATTTACATTACAAAAATATTGAAGTGGGTGTGATTGGCAAATGGAAACAAGCAAGTAGCACTGAATTGAGGGGGAATTTGAATTGAAAGTTTGTACAAAGGAAACTATAAATCTATACAAAAATGATTGAAAATCCTATCTATCAACAGAAAATGGGATACCAAAGATATTGAACATCTTATTGCTAAGATATTTATGTTCAAATGTCATACGCAGTTCTCGTTTTACGAAATTTTGAACCAAATCCAATCCTTCAGCATTGCCCTGAAATACCATGATCGATCTTGCAATAGGTAGACTTAGATGAAAGAAAATTGCATTGTAGGATTACAAATGATCAATGATCCATTTTCAAGGATTTTCTGAGTTGAAACAATTCATTTGGTATAACACTGCCCAAAACATTACAAGCAGTAAACAAAAACTCCTAGTTTCAACTTGAGTGCTGTTTTTTGTTGGTAGGCTGTAGGCTAGAATTGAACCACAGTCCACAGTCTTGTTGCTGCTGCTGCAACTGCAATGCTCAGGCTCAGTGCTGTGGTCAATATAGAAAATGAAATTTCCGTCATTTCCAAGAAACTAAACCCTTGTTTCATTCCTAAATTTCGGACAAATTTAAGATAAAAAATGAGCAAAGGATGGCCTGAACATGTGAAGGTAAATTATTTTAAAATGCATGTTGCTTATCGCAAATCGGAGTGCCAGCAGCAGTATCTGATTGAATATATAGCATAATAATTCGAAATTAATTTAGGACAATGCTCTCTAATTTTAAGAAAATGATGCCTTCTTATTTGACTTAATGATTTTACTATTATGTTTTCCAAAGTGTGGCAATGGGAAGGAAGGAGGGTAAGAAGCAGGATTTGTACGGACTGACGACACTATTCTTTTCTCACATGAATAATATCTTTGGAAAGAGCATCTCTTTGCACAAAAATACTATTAGTCTTGAAAATAAAGGAAAGAGTTCTAGTTGTTCGAATTTAAACTTTAAATTTATTGAAAATCACATTTTAAAGATAATTGCATGAATCAACATAAGTGAAACTCAAAATTTAGTTTTTTTTCTTTAAGAAACTTAATGAAAAGTCATTACCAAAATGGAGTGTTACCATTCAACAGCATATGTATTCATTTCCACATTATTATTACAGACAGTTTTCTTATCTTCTATCCAAAGGCCTGCTTTTTATGACCCTTTAATTGGAACTTTGTTATGTATACTCTCTTGCAAATCTTTGCACGTTGCCAGGCATATCATATCCCATTTGCCCGACAATGGCAACAACGGTGTGCTGGAAAGTTGACAAAACACACTCTGCAGCAAAGCAATGGATACTACACGAAATTTGGCTCATCCCATCCATTCCTAGTGTGAAACTAATCAACTATTACCATATACGTATTCTTATGGTCCTATGGCCCCAACTTTAGAAAGGGTATTTTGTGCCCGAAAAGGGCTTGTTTCAAACATCAACGCATGTGCCCCATGTCAGGCATTTTCCTAAAAGTAAAAATCTGGGGAAAAAAAAAGTAGACCAGTACTTGATATTGGTTTTGCCGTACCATAAGAGAATCCCCTCGAATTTCAAAAAAAAAAAAGAAGAATTCAAAGTGTAGCAGGAGTGAGAAACTTGGGAAGAAAGTCAAGTTATGCAGGCGCAAGCAGGTAAGCAAAATACCATGAAACGGTAGAGAGATCATGTGTCTTAAGGCTTTTAATTTATTAATAATCTGTGAATATAATTTAAAGAGAGATAGAGAGAAAGAGTTAAGAGTTTTGCAGTTTGCATACAGGCCAAGAGACGCGGTTTTAGAGCTGCGAGACAGAGCAGCAACAGCTGTTTTTTTTTTTTTTGCTTTTTTTTTTCTATATTGGCAATGGCTGTTGAGTGTTGTGTATTCGTACTATTTTGGACTGCGCGTCTCTTTAGCGTTGTGTTAATACTTAATAACCATTGTTTTTCCTTTCAAATTTATGCATATTACACCCCACCAAAGGCCAAAAAGCTCATTAAAAATGAGCCTGCAGATCCTGGAAGTTGCCTATGAAGAATTCTATGTTTCTCTCTAAACCCACATTACTATATCAAACAAACAAAAGGGTTTTTGCCATAATCAATCTATTTTTACAAAATATGATTAGCCATAAATGGTTTGAACATGAACAGTGAAACATAATATAATAAACACCCTGGTAAAAAAGTTCTGGTTTGCCCTTGGTCTAGTTTTTGTTTATTGTGCATTTGCTGGGAGTCATCTCTGGGTGGGGGTGACTTTCCAGGTAAGTCAAGGAACTCTACAAACAATCATTTAACTTTCAATTTTTATTAAGATTTATTTGCTAGTGTTTGATTGCTGCATGAGTTCATACGGGTTTCCTGATCCAATTCAACTCAATTGCCTTTTCCATTTGAAGTTATAGCAGCTGATGATCTATTGGTGAAGTGTTAAACTTTTAATTTTAGCTACTAGGTTCAAATCCTAATAGCTTCAAATAAAAAAAAAGTTACAGCCATAGATTTGGAAATTAATTGTAGACTTTCAAGTTGAATTCTTTTCAGTCATTTTAACTGCATGCCTCCTAAAAAAGTCAGATCAATATTAGTTTGAATCATTCACTTCTAACAACTTTCAAATCATAGCATGTTACAATGTCTTTGTTGATCTACTGGCTGTTAAATCTTTCTATAGAAAGTCTAAGAAATAACTTGTCTACATTAATGATGTGATATTGAAATATTCAAAGATGCTTTCTAGCTGTAATTTGTTAATGTACAAACCATCTGTGCTTCCTTGATCTTCCCTCCTCAAATCAAAAAGTAGGTTGAGTACTGAGGTTTGCAAATTGACATTTCTTCCCTGTTATTAATCACAATATTTTTCTTCCACATGTTTGGTGGAAAATATTTATAATACCAGCCATAGAGGAATGGGGTTTTACCATGAAGCAGGAAAGTAATACATATTTTCCATTTATATAAAGCTGAAATATCTGTCAGCCATTTTGGTATTCATATGTGGAACCATACTGATAGGGATTTCCAACTTTAAAAACTCAAGTTCCCAATCTATAAATAGCAGCACCCTTCTTTCTTCCCACATTAAGCTCTTTACCTCATTCCTTTCGTCACTTTTAGAAGAACAAGAAACCAAAAGCAAAAGCTACCAAAGCATTTGATCCTTTTCTCGTCAGAGCAGTGATCATTCAACACTTGATTGATAACTGAAGACTGCTGTTCGTTGTTCTATTTGATCTTTCTTGATAGCTCCTTGTCAATGGTGAAGATTGAGCACAAGATCCAACCAGAGCCATCAAAGCAAATGATCATCAACATCTCCAGCATCATCATCAACCTGCAAAAAGAAGAAGTACAAGGGTGTAAGAATGAGGAGTTGGGGCTCTTGGGTGTCAGAGATTAGGGCTCCAAATCAGAAAACAAGAATATGGTTAGGGTCTTATTCAACACCAGAAGCAGCTGCTAGAGCCTATGATGCTGCACTTCTATGCCTCAAAGGTTCCTCAGCAAATCTTAACTTCCCAATTACATCCTCGCATTACATTCCAGATACCATTATGTCTCCTAAGTCGATACAAAGGGTGGCAGCAGCAGCTGCAAATAGTTTTGTTGACAATGCCACTACCCCATCAATATCGCCACCTCCTCCCTCAACATCCCCGTCATCATCAGTCTCTTCCCCATCAATGTCCTCCTCACCATCTGATCAAGTTGATGATGATGTGTCACTAATACAATCACTTGTGGCTAACAACGAGCCTATTTCTTTGATGGAACCCTGGTACTCCTTTGACAGCCTACAATCTCCCAAGTATATTGATCAGATGTTCAATGTAGCCCCATTTGATCCACCAAT